AAAGCTTTCCTATAATGTTAGGCAATTATAACTTTTCAAGAAACGAAAATGGGCATGATGGTCAATACTGATTACAGTAACACTAACAGTACCATAATTATAAGCTGGACCATTTTTCTAGTAGCTTCCAAGGCTAGAAAAATGGGGGTTGTGTGTGAGGCTAATCATACCACCCCGTAAAATCAATCCAGTTGCTGAATAAACTTGAAACCACAGCAGAAACATGAAAAATGTATTCTTCGCTGGGATAGGAGAGGTGGATTGACGCAGGCCAGTTAAAGTCTTCGAGAAACCAGTCAGCCGATGTATCTTCTCCCGGTGAAAGCAAAGGTAGTCATTAGAATATGGCTGGTGCTCGAAGCACGAAAGGATGTTTAGATCACAAAATAAATGAGAATATATGCCAAAGAATTCCTAGGAATCTGTAGCAGGAAGTGAAATGGACTTGGACTTCATACATTGTTTAAACTGGAGAGTCAGTAATCTACTCTGATCAATGAGTTAGCAACCACGGGTTTACCTAAGGAGTGGCTATAATGTGTCACCAGAAGCATAAAAAGCTCTTATGTAGTGAGAATTGGTTTGCTTCAGAACAGTCACAAAAAGATTCAACTCAAAAAGTAGGGAAGTCACAGTTATATAATGCTGCGTGCCTACAAACAACGTAGAACAAGAGATAGCAGGAGACATCTGTAGACAACTGCATGTTGTAATGGGCAATACTAGAGGGAGGCAGCGACATCGAAATCACAGTGGGCAATATAAATACTAAACTGGGATATGACAGCAAGGCAGTGTGTACAAGAAGAAGAATATACACACTGATGTTCGCAGCAAAAATCAGATAGAATTCATCTCAATCTCAAGAGTATGGAGATGCAGCCAACTAAAAACAAATTTAGAATAGGAGAAGATGTGGGCTAAGACCATCACCCACTGCAAAGAACCTTCAAAGTCAAATTAAAGTCCTTCAGAGCTGCTGGAAATAAACCACAATTCAAGTTGAAATTTCAGAAATCGAACGAAGGAATAACAAAGGACATCTTTACCGTAGCCATCACAACAAAGTCAAGAACACTGTGTGGCGTCTTCGAAAAAAGTCTCTTAGAGTAATACTGGAAGTGGAGTTGGAGGTGGGCGAAATCTATATACCTGTCTTAGACAGGGAGGTCAGTAAATGTCTGTCTATGGTCGCTTGGAACCCAATGTTAGATGGATGGATAGTGTAAGAGATGATGTGGATGAACAATGGGAAGAGGAGCTGAGATCAGTCTACAGTGTACTGAATAAAATAGTGATCAAGAATGCTAAAAAAGATGAAAGTAAATTGTATGTCACTCTGTCAACTGAAGATCAACACATCGAAAGTAACAAGGAGTTCAGTACATTACATCAGATTAGGATACCATTATTTAGAAGAGATCAGTACAGATAAAACCATTGAAAGATATTGAAGTGAAGACAGGAGTAAGTTAAGGCTACTAAATATCATCGATGATTTTCCTAAATGTGGTGGACTGGATAATGCTGCAGACCGTGGGGAGCAAGAAGATAGGAATACGTTGGATTGACAGCCAGGCAATGTAAAGTATTGGACTTTGCAAAGGATTCATGCCTGATGCTACACAATTTCGTAGATCTACATGCGGAAATCAACAAGGTAGTAGAATTATTGACGAGGACAGGACTTCAGGTGCACACTCGGAAGATAACCAACCGATGACAAGGAGCACCAATCACGATCAGTCTAGTTAACTTTCACTGTGGTCACTTCTTTCACCTATATGGGTGGCATAATTTCAGCTACAGGAGGCATGGATTAGGTTGTCCTAGGCAGTATTGGAAAGGCCAGACAGACATTGATAACCCTTAAGTCAGTGTGAAAATCTGGTGAAATCAGCATGTAGGCAAGACGCGTATTTTTAACACAAATGTGAAGGCACTTCTTCTATGTGATTTAAATACTTTGTGCACTCATTAAAATATGATTACCAGGATTGCCAGAATGAAATTCTGAAAACGAATCAGTTGACAAACCACCTATTGCCCACAAAATATCCCGGAGGAAATGGAGATGAATCAGACACATGGTGAGGAAACTACTGAGTGACGTCACGAGTCGCGGAATCGCTTAACTGGTAAAAACAACTGGAAGTTGAGAGTTGTGTGTCTGAGTTAAAAACGGAGGAGATTGTGGGAAGAGGAGATCAGAGCTTACGGATGACCATGGAGTCAGCTCAAGACGACTGTAATAAACAGGAATAAGTGGTGGTGTGCCAGTGAAAGCTTATGTTTTACTTGGAACCTAATACTGTCTATATGATAAATGTATTACTATTATTATTGTAACGATGATTAGGGCAGTGAAAGTTTCTCTCTGATATCTTTGTGATTTTGCTTTGTGGCAGTTGTGCTTCGTATTTTGTCGGATTTAATATGTTGACTGTTTTATATAAGTATACGAGAGTCTTCCAGAATAAGGTTTTATCATATTGATTCCAGCCTGAGTATACAAAGCTTAAGTGGTTCACGATTTTAGACCTTTCTTATTGGTTCTGGAGGATAACTCAGTGTAGCCACCGTAGTACGGTTATGACAATATACGAACACCATCATATTCGGTGAACATATTGAGCACTAAAATAGATGGCCAGTCATCAGCATCTTTCAGCTTTAGTTTCTGCAAAGTAAACAGCTTACGTTATTAACTGAATGCATGAGCTGCCACATATTTTTTGTTGCATCCATTAGATGGTTAAACATTTGGTCGACATCATCGAGAGAAGGCTTAAAGATTTCTTGCATAGGAGCATTTTCTTGTAACAAACAGGGTTCAGAGAAAGCAATTCACTCACACACTAAGTTATAACACTGCTGAAAGGCATTTGTAAATGCTTAGAATGCTGGTCAACCTCATCGTATTTCAAAAGGCTTCGAATTGCGTCAAGCGAGGAGTAATTCTTCTATTTTATCGACGTTAAACAGTTCATTACAGCAAACATTAATAGGCCTCATTCAGCATCTACTAGATATCACAATGTACCAAGTAATCTACAGTAAAGACGGAGGTAAGAAAATGCTGTCTACTGATAATATTTCTAATTGCAGCAGACTAAGTCACGTGACAGACAGGGAGATTGGCAGATTGACAGAAATTCGAATATAGTTTCAACTGAAAACTAACACGCTGAAAGTAGAGACAGCAACATATGAAAGGACCTAGGGTGAACACAGTGAAGATACAACGGATGAATACACTCAAAAGAAAGCACAGTCACCAATCACTCTAATTGGAAGTAACCTCAAACCTGCTTCTCCCTGTCACTTATTCAGACAACATCGTTTCAAACACATTCGATATGGATGTTGGTTATAATTCCAACTTGGATCAGTTGGCAAAAGCAAGACAGGGGATCAATGCTGTCGGATCATTAAAGAGATTATTATTAACTGCTGACAGTAACGTTTTTGATAAATGAAATGGAATTCAAGTCCAGTACACATTGTTTAAAAGCTAAATACTTAGAATAGTAAGTCCTCCCGCCATTATTCTTTTCAGATCAAGTATCAGATTTCAAATATCAATAAAGCTGAGAGACTTAAAATGGTAGCTGTCGACAATATGTTCAGACTTTAATTCATGGAAAATTCCTATTGTAACATATATAAAATCAAAACAAGTGATTCAGAGAAAAGACTCTTTTCAATTAAAAATAATGGTCATCTGCGCCCAAGAATATACTGCACGTGAGCTTGGAATTCAAAGGTAACTTAGCTTCCAATATTGTGAAAAGAAGGATATCACTGTCCCTGAAAAGAACATTCCCTGCTGCGTCCCTGAAAACAGACTTTACCAGTCGACCATTATTGTTCCATAACACGAAGGACAAGATCCCAGTTTTTACCAACTATGTGTGCATTTATCAAATCACCTGCTTGGGTGGAGCTAGGTATATCGATCGTTCGACTCTAGTTTTGTCCAGGAGGGTGAAAGAACACTATCCTGCGTGGTTACGAAGAGGTGGGAGTGTAGCAATCAGAAGCAAAATAATTGAACATCTGGTCAATAATGATCACGCTATATCTCTTGCCTCCGCCTTTAAAGTCATCTACAAGGCTTAAAGTAATTCAAGGAAATCAATACGTACCCGACTCATATCTATGGCTGAAGCTTTGGCTATCAAAACAGAAAAGCCAGATCTCCGTTCACATAAAAGGTTTGTCCTCGCCGTCTTGACAAAATATTTGACCACCCAAACACTGTTTCACAGTCATTTGGTGGATAGTGACTAGCAGTGGGATCCAGTATACGTATTTCTTCTTATTTAAGACTCTTCATCTGGATGTGCATGCATTGCCTAGTGAGTGATGTTGTTCCTACCAGGGCTTGAATTCAGTGACCATAGTTCCAGACGCCAAAGCGTTATCCATTAGGCCACTTGGGCCACGAGAGCTACCTGTTGTGAAACGGGTCTTAATAATTATTAAATTCAATTTCAAATTCAGCCGTCGATTGTTAGGACGAAATGGGCATCCCAGATTCCACTGCCGATCATCATCTACCAATTGAATTCAAGTCACATGAGCAGACACCCTTGAAGAACCTTCACGAGGAGCCGAAATGTAAACCTGAGACCGAGCACTTCAATTCAATCGAACAACGGGAAAATCTTAAATCGAATTAAACAACTATTTCCCAGACTTCTGTATAATTTCTGAGTTCTGCAGTTGTGATTTATTTTTTCGATAAACAGACTAATGAATTTAAATGGTTAACTATAATGTTGACTAATCTGTTGAATCTGTCCTGCAAGTGGCTGATAATTACTGATACACAGTTGGGACTAGAAAGTTACTGATGACAAATGTCTCCACATATAAAACTTAGTGAGAATTTAAAATTCACGAAAGCCACTACAAATGACTTATAGAATTCAGTTTGCATCAAAGAAAGGACTAGATATATCACACTAGTTACTAGTGTACAACCATTAAAACTATCTTGACTGAATTTGGACTATTATGGATTTTATGGCTATAGTTGGATATTAGTTTTTTTAACTGCAAAATAACTAAAGAGATTTTTAAAATAGGTTGGTTGGAAGTGAAAGCATGATAACATCCAGGATTATGATAAGTCACATTATAGATTCATCAGTAATTTGAGGAAGTGTGAACCACTTCGTCAACTTTCGAAATTTAGTTATCATACCAGTTTATAATGTCAGAAATGATTTGACTAATTAATAGTCACGAATTATTTGCGCAATGTTGTGTGTGCTGACAGAATGATGTGAGAGTGAATGAAGGATAAATTATGCGACTGTTTAAAGTATTTTTTATGAAATATTTCAAAAATGAGATTAAGGAAAAAACATGAAAGGAAAGTACACACTTCGGTCCTTTTCCTTTGTTAGTCCTTGAAATGATCGATATAACCAAGTGATATTATAGTTAGCAGTCCGTAAACTTTAGATGGGTGGATTAAGATAATCCGCAATTAAAGTCATTATGTATGTTAGTAAGTGCTACATTCAGTGTGTTAGAATAAGTAAGTATAAAATTATTGTGTTGTTGTAAAATTTATCCAAATCTATTTTTGAAATTTTTCCACCCAGAACTCAATGCATTTCTCAATCCGAGCGCATTAAGGAATATTCTAGCGGGCCATCCAGGTGATTTCGGTGCTTCTGTGTTGGAACCAGTTGCCTCTAAAATGAGAGACAAAAAATGTTGCATTTCATTCCACTATGCATTAAACACAGATTAGAGTAAACATTTATAATTCTGAAAACAAATATGACCAAAGTTTGTCTAAACGTCAGGGAATCGTTTCCCTCACTCGAAAGGGAATTTCTATAATGCTTCAGTCAAAAGTTAGTTCTTTCTTCATTCATTTCGAATCACTAAATATTCTTATCGATAAAATTATAACTAGACCTATAAGAGAACGATGTTGTGTTCCACTAGATTTTTTCTAAGCTTTATTCTAATGAACAATCGCAGTCTTTATTCATTTGATATAACAGAATGTGTCGAAGAGTTCTTTAACAAATGACATTTAGAGATGAATTTACTGTCTGACATTTACTTTTATAGTTAGAGAAATATTTTCCCGACACACTCTGGGAAATGTCTCACTGACGCAAATTTACCTTACAGGTAATTAATGAAGTTATTTGCTTCGGTAGCACAGTGGTTAAGACTCTCGCCGACCATGCACATGGTCCGGGGTTCGAGCCCACGTCGGCGCACACCTGATATCTATGGTCGGCCTGCGAAATTTGGGCTACCGATATCTATGCTGAAAATTCCATACTTGTACCAAAAATACAGTGTGGAATCAAGCTGTAAATCTTAAAAAAATATTGTGGTATGAATACGAGTCAAAAAAGGTATCTCTTAATAAGTAAATTCTCGTTAAGGAATTTTTATTAAATATTTCTGTATTCGAGTATTGGTTTCGTAAGGATTGTGTTTGATTTGATGAGGGATTTCATCATGAGTTGACATCAGTTAGAGAGCCACTGGAAAACCTGGGAGTATTGAACAGTTGTTTTGTCATAATATAGGACTCTTCACAGTAAACAGTGCCTCAATGGCCTACGAGTTCACTTTGTAACCAGAGGATCCTGGGTTAGTGTGTACTGCTAAAGAGTCACAAACTAGGAAGAAACAGTTGTCCAATACTCCCAGCTTGTTTTCCAGTGTTTCTCTAAATGATTTCAGGTCATGATGAAATACTTCTGTATTCTTCAAGCTGTAGGTTACTTAAGTATATATATGAACCACCTGTTCAAAAAGATATATATATATATAAAGATATATATAGTGTTTCGATGTCTATTGGTCCTCTGATATCCATCTGAATTACTGTGTTTCGAAAATATTATATCTACAATCTGTTATTTGTTCAATGTGCAGGTTGAATACTGTGATCATTTGGAGCCTGGTCATGTATTGTCATATAAGTATTTTGAGCTTTCTCATGAAACTGCATTTTTCCAAGGAATGTCATAGAGAATAAAGGGAGAAATGAAAACTGATTTAGGAGAGTAAGAAAGCAGAAAAATGCAGTAGTGATTATGGCTGATATAAGGTGTGAGTATCAGAAAAGCACAGTAACAAAGAAATCAAAATCACATATCATAAAAGCGAAGGTACTACAAATTGGAATAAACTGTCAAGTTCTGGTTAATTAAAAGTACCTGGTGGCTGTATTATATGATATGTGGTCTTAATTAAATCCGTTGCACTTTCATAAGCGTTTTAAGTTATGTCGAGTTTCGCTTTTAAAGAACGACTAAATTCAACGAATGACTAAATATAGGTTAAATGATTGAAGCAAGGAGTCGGTGGCGTAGCGGTTAGGACGCTTGCCGACCATGCACATGGTTCAGGGTTTGATCCCCGGCCGATGGACTCCTTTACCTCGCTAAGCCAGAAATAGTGCTGGTAAAGAGGAAAGGTTAGGCATGAGGCTAGCAACTTCATCCTGTAAAATAAAAGCTGTTACAGAAACTTCAAGCCACTAGCTTGAAGCCCTGTGTTCCACTGGGAACGTGAAGGAAAAATTATTTAATAATTTTCAAATGTTGGTTTGTAGGGATTTGATTGGTTTCAGGATTTCATCATGAGCTGACATTAGTTAGAGAACCATTGGAAAACCTAGGAGTACTGAACAGCTGTTTCGTCCTAGTTTGGGACTCTCCAGCAGTACGTACTCACCGGGATTATTATTATTATTAAGTCTCCACGAGAACATTCACTCGTCACTTTCAAATGAAGGAATGTTAGTGTTCGTGCTCATAAATATCTCTCCATTTCCTAAATATCTCTCATAAGTGAACAAAATTATATGTTTACGTAAACGACTCCTGGTACTAATTACTTTTCTGAAAACGAGAGGAGCAAGTGTGCATATGTTATCACTTTATATACAACTCAGTGCCAATTTTCATTGTTTCGGTGTTCCAGAGGAAATGGAGGGTGTGTGTTTCGATTTAAGACCTGAGTGACATTCATGTCAAACAGTGAATAATATTTCCTATAGTTATCAAGTTAGTAGAGCTGATTTAGTGAACAATATAACATGATCCAATGAAAATGTGACAGCCAATTGTGGTTAGTTTAAAATGAAATGCCAGGAACTATGTTCAGATCCGTCAGACTTTTTCAGCAAATTCAAAAAGATTCGAACTAACTTGTTGTGGTGCCTGAACTCAATAAAGATAAAGAAGCAATAAATAGAAACATCATTTTTTGATATTGAAGTTGCTTACAGTACTGAGTTAACAAACTAAAGAATAATTTTTCAGTCGAAAAACTTAAATATTTTAGGCTTATACACTGGCCTTCACCATTACTTTTTGTGAAGAAAATCTCATAATGTATGATTTTTATCTTATAGAAAAACAGTATTTGAGCGCAAAGACTATTTGAGATCAGAGAAACGGTTATTTGAATAAATAGGGAAGCATTTTGGCATAACTTCTATGTGTGATACATTCTTGAATCCTTTTATTTGCTCCTAAATAATCGACTCGCCCAGCTAAGTGGTTTAGGTACTTCTGTGTGACTATTTCTTGCACCTATAAAGATAAATAGCAACTGCTGTAATTGAATATAGATGAAACATAAATGCAAACCATTATTTCTATTTCCCGGAATAATCAGACAGGTAAATATTCATAACACCTGGGTAAAACTTCATTTCCAATATACTGTTTTGGTTTGAAATAACAAACAGTGATAAAATTGCCATCAACGAATCACTATTCGAGCATTATTTATTTTAGGAAATTTCTGCAGGTAGACCCTGTAAAATGATTCATTGACTTAATTTTGACTTGTGGTTAAAATACTGAAATTATTTACTTGACAGGTTGTGCAGATAAATACAGAGTAGTTCAAGGGATTTATCACTAATAAAATCTCATTCGTTAATTTTGATTGAATGCGTATGTGTTTTCTGTCAAGTTTTACGAAGACAGGCATATTAGTTGCACATCAGTTGGTCTAAAAATATGGTTGAGAATATATGCGTCGATGCACTGTCATGATCTAGTTTGAATATAGTTAAGATTTATCATCTGTCACTTGCCCATTATTTTTCGATAATAGCACTCACAAAGGATCACGATAAAGACCAAAAATATTCACATCACAATAAGTGAATAATTCCTTATGATAAATGCTACCGAGAATCTGAACAAAAGATCAGAATGGAAATTTAGTTGGAATCTTGTTAGCAGATGGAAACTAGTCGCATGTTGTGATGCAAGTATTTTGAGTTTGAGGATTTGAGAGACAGGTGAAATAATGAGTGAAGAGACCAGTAGAGTTGGAAAGTACAATGCCAATTGTGTATGTGTGTGTGTGGAATAAAGAGGCAGTATTAGAAATGCACAGATGGCAGACTAGGGAATTAAGGGCAGGTTTCAGTAAAGCGGAAGTGATGGATTTCAAAGGTCTTACCTTTCAGAACTCAACGTGGAAATATGCCATACTCAAAGTATTACATGACTATATGATATTATTAATGATTTAAATTAAATCCATTGTACTTTCACAAGCCTAATTTCTATTACGTTGAGTTGTGTGATTGAATAATCAATTGTTCGAAACCGATATGAATGGATGACGCCCTCTGCTTTAATGAAGTTTTGGTAGAACGTTCAGTGTTTACCCTAGGGTTACTGAATTCCTGATAACATAAATGTTGCTTTTCTTTCGTCATTATTATTTGTTAATTCAGACCAGTTTCAGTGCTGATAACTTTCATTTCAACTGGCTGTTCGTCGTTTTTTATGTGGTCACGATTTATACACCTCAGGAAGAATACTGTATTTTCCAGTGTTTCAGAGGAATAAAGGCTAAGAATTGTGGTATACAACCTGATTTGCAACTACGTTATAATTTTAATAATATTTAATATCAAGTAAACATAGCTGGTTTAATCCAATCAAAAGATAACAGTAATTTATCCTAAGGCTAATGTAATGCGGAAGGCTGTTCTAAGCCACTTTATATATTTTATAGGAATTAAACGAAGATACAAACTCACGTGTAGTAGTGGCTACATGCAGTAAATGATACAAAAATTTTTTGAGACTTTGAAGTAACTGATAGTGTTTCGTTAAAAACTAATTGATGCTTGCTGAATCAGATCATTGACATTTTTCAGGATAGTATTGTGGCCTAGGCAATTATATTTTCTGGGTAAGAGTTCATAAAGGATACTTTAAACCTTGGATAGAAATAGCATTCCAGCGCAGAGACTATGTAGATTCGAAAATTGAGAAACGGTTATATATCTTTATAGGCTAATATCAAACCTAGATTCGGTGAACTCATTGTCATATAACGCCAGTGTGATACTTTCCTGAATGCTTTGAATTTTTTATTTCATACATCTCGTCAAGTGGGTAGAGGTACACCGACGGACGGTATTCAAAAATGGAATGTCTTTCAGCTCACAGCGCCATGTCATATTATGAAATCTAATAAAGGCCTGATGCTATTGAGTTACCGCTCGCGCGATGCTTAACTGGTCCTCTGATCACGATGAAGAGAGGACTCATCGACACATGCACAGACAGATACGATGTGGTTAAGGCTCAATATAAAATATAAATTTACTTTCGTTATAGGCTAAATGGTAGGCAGTAAAATCATATAGCAATCACTATGATTTAATTCACTGTAGGTTTTTGTAACCAATTGGAATAAAATACTAAAACATTGAAAACGTTTAGGTAGTGGACTCATGTTTCGTACTATTTCGGGACTCCATATCAGCGTACACCGACGACTCTAACAAGAATCTTACTCGTGAATTTAGATTTTGGGGCTAGACTCGTTTACCAATAAGCCACCGCTTACTGTTCTCATGCCTGCTATCGTATACTTTAATGGTCATTAGTTGTTATATGATATATAGGATGTTCAAATCATGGTTACTCACTAACGTCAATTGAGTTATTATTTAGGGATTGAGTTGTGGGCTAGCGATGGTGACATCATCACCATCATGTACTTGTATGTACAGGTTTAGTGGAACTAATTTCAAACGAATATAGACTCACCAAAAGTAGTTGCTGAATGGTCGAAAATTTAAAAAGTTGTATAAATATCAAGTTGTTTGAAAATATAAAGTTGCTTAAAGAAACCGGCTGGGTTATTTTAGCTGTGTTCTCAAGATTGATTCAAGCAGATTCAACAGTATGAAGAATTAAAAACTGATATACGACACGCATATAGGAAGTCGGCTTTCATAATATCAGTAAAACTAAAATATTTCATCCAAACACCTATCTATAAAATCATAACATTTTATCACGAATTGAGTATTTATGAATAATAGCCATACTGAGTTTACATTTAAACCCGTATTACTTTCTTAAACAGTATGTATTGTGTAAAATCAGGAAATATGAACTCACTTTCAGTTTTGGCTAGACGGAAGGTAATTTACATGTTTAGGAGATAATATTACATTAGATGGAAACTGGAAAGTTTATGACAGAGTGTATAGACCGTTCATGAATTTATTGAAGTTATAAGAACTTGTGTAGGGTCTTGTTACCGTGTAAGTCATCTTTTTCCGTGTATTATCTTTACAGATGCATAGTCTATTGCTGATGTATGAGAACGTTTATGCATTCCCTAGGAAGTGTTTTCATTACCGTTCTGCGTAGGTTCATTATTATATAAAGGCCTTAAATTATCTTCAGTGTCTAATCCTTTCATTTGATTATGTACCCATAATGTCCATCATGTTTTCAGGATCCCTGTAGAACAGTGAATGCAAATATTACCGCGTGTAGTTAGATGCAGTTACATTGGTTACTGGATTGGCCACGAGTTTACATCACTTAGGGACCAACCAGGAAACTGGGCAGTACTGAACAGCTATTTTCTCCCAATTTGGAACTTTTCAATGGAAGGCATCCACTGCGACTTAAACCCAGGACCTTCTGATTACAAGGCAAGTTCGTTGACCACTCAGCCACTGGGACCTACCCATTAGTGCATGAACTCTTTGAACTAGCTGAAGTTAAAAATCAAGGACTCTCTCGTTGGATTGCAGTGGCTAAATGGTCTACGAGTTTGCCTCGCAACCGGACCATACTGGGTTAGAAGTCCGCCTACTAAAGATTCCAAAACTAGAATGGAACAGCTGTCTAACATTGACTGGTTTTCCAGTGGAATAAAAATATGTTTCATCGCTTCTCTCCTCGTCAGACCTGCTTTTCAGAGGTATTTTGAATTGCTTAATGCAAAAGGTTTGTGTCGGTGTTCGTCATATTTAATTTGTGTGATTTCAAGCTACTTGTAATTCATGATGCCACATGTCGTTTCATTTGAGAACTGAGACATATTTTCGGTAAAATATTTACAGTTTGTGAACTCATCGTTCTCACATTATTTTACTCTACTGTAATAATCACTACCTAGTTTCGACCTTCAACCCAAGGTATTTTGTATATGTAAACTTACTATTTCCATCCAGTGTAGGATCAAGGCTGACAAAACAATTAAAAGTTGTTTACTAAGTAATCTGTTCATAAAATGTGATATTATACATGTAAAAATAATTATCTTATGTTAGACAAATAAATAAAGATGAGGGAGGTTTAGAATCCGCATTGTCTTTTTGTTGGGTTTTGGTAGTTATATTAAAATATGAGTTTTCCTGAATACTAAGTTTATAGAAGAATGAAGTCCAACATTACACAGTGAACAATTATAATGGAATGCGAGACATTTGAAACCAAGAAGCATTATTTGTAATCATGCTTAGCTAACATACCACACGGAGAGCTTGCAGTATAACGTGTTTCGTTCCTAATGAATCTTGAATGACCTTTAGGTAGTAGGTATCTCGTGTCACGCTTCTTGTCTTTTGTTTAGTACACAAAGAATTCTATCAATCATGTTTTCATTGATGCCTCCATACTAGGTGGCCATCATGGTGCACTCTAAACATAAAATTCATTCTGTACAAAACAAAAGACCAGAGTAATGACACTAGTTACCTACTGCCTAGTGTTCAATCAAAGTACCCATACAGGAGGTCAGTTGCGAGCAGGGATAGTTTGTTGGTGACATCTCTGATTGCAATACTTTTGCCACGAGTTCGAATCTCATATAAGACTTGAATTCCTTCAAAGTTTCAGACTGGTGATTGCCAAGTAGCATGAAATCTGGACCAACGCTTACTGCCGAATGCCTCCATTTATATACTTGTAATCATTTTGAATGTATGTAAAGGCATATGGATGCAAGGAATGGTTCCAACTTTATGTTTTGGTGAACACACAGATGTTGGAATGAAGTACTATATGTGAAAAATGTTGTCTGAAACATGGAAATATTATTTTTGTAAGTTGTTATAGTGTTGCATAACTTCAGTATTCACTTAATTCAAACTAAAGGATGTTACAATAAGTAGGAATGTTGTGGCAATTACATGCTAATTTGTTTATTAGATTTTTCACGCACACAGAGTGAAACAGTATTATTTACTTACTGGCTGACGTTTCGAACACAACTCATGGATCATAATCATATCAATTATAATAACAAAACCTTTAAACTTTTGCTTTATAGTTTTATTTATTTTTCCCTATTTGTCATAGGAGTATTAGAATTTTCCAGATATCAATATCAATCTCTCGCTCGAACTTGTCACATTAGATTTTGAAACTCTCATCTTATATTTCCCTATTGTATGGTTGTGTGTAATTGCATGTAATGCTATATCTGAACTATTCGCATAGCTCATATCAAAGGCGAAGTATCAGAATAGAGTCATTCAGACTGGTCGAGCATAAAAACCTATCAAAATCTAGATTAGTGGAGCCCAGTAATAGGTAAGAAATCTGAAGAGTAGTTCAGCTATAGCACACACAATATGCAGTCACACACAACCACACAATACGACGAGAGAAGATAACAATTATAAAATCTAATGTCACAGGGTGGAAGAAGAGATTGATAACAGAAGCTTAGTTTATCGACTTAACCGCAAATATATGTAATAGGAATAATTCAACACGTGTCCCAGATATCTGGAAAATTCTACTAACCCAACGACGACAAATAGGAGAGGACAAAGAAAACTATAAAACTCAAGTTTCGAGGTCGTGTGATTATAATTGATATGATTATGAACAATAAATTTTGTTCGAAACATCATCCAGTAAATAAAACTGTTTCACTGTGTAATAAATCTAATAAACAAACCAATATGGAATTAATTGCTACCACATTACCCAGGTTTCACGCATATATTATTCTTGTGGACTCACAAAAAGAGACTTGGAGGATCTGGACTTCGCCCGCGATGATATATGTCTGATTTCCCACAAACTGGAAGATATGCAAGTGAAAAGCAACAAGTTGTCGGAAGAGGCATCAAAGATAGGACTTCAAGTGAACATAGATAAAACAGAGGTGATGAAGATTCCTAGCCAACATCAACAGCAACAACAACAACAGACGACAATCAGCCAGCATAAATGGGAGGAACCTGAAAGAAACAACCTCCTTCACCTACCTAGGAAGCATCGTTTCAACTAAAGGCGGACGGAACTGACGAGGATATCAAAGCCAGAATCGGAAAAGCAAGACAAACTTTCATTACTCTCAAGTCGGTGTGGAGGTCAACAGAACTCAGCATGAAAGTGAAAATTAGATCCGGATTTCCAACTCCAATGTAAAGTCAGTCAGTGCTACTATACGGATCAGAGACTTGCGATGCGCATCATAAAGAACATCCCAAATAAACTACAGACCTTCATTAACAGTTGTCTTCGCTCAATACTCAAGATCAGATGGCCAGCCAGGAAAGATCAGCAACATGGAATCTCTGGCAATGAGCGAACCAACTCAGCAGGAACCGATTGTGAAACAAATAGGCAGGAAGAAATGGAGATGGATTGGCCATACTCTGAGGAAAACATCAAGTGACATCACTAGACAAGCCATCGCTCGAGTGGAACCCGAAAGGGAAGCGGCGAGTTGGTCGTCCAAGGGTGACTTGGAGGAGGTCATGTGAAGAGGAGATGAAAGCATGTGGGCAGACTTGGAGCGGGGTGAAAAAGTTGTCAGAAAACCGAAAGCAATAGAGGTGCGCAGCTGAAGCCCTATGTTCCTCTAGGAACTAAAGGATTTAATAATAATTATTATTATTATTTCGGCAGGTTTCAGTTAAAACTAAATTGAGTTTCAAATGCGTTATTTGGAATTATTGGTTTTAAATGTGAAGTAAATGTCTACATATTACTTGGTGTTATTGAACCGCGAACTATTAAAAGAAATACTCTATCGTTATGCACCGTCGTGGAGTTCTATGTTTGCAGTATAGGGTTCATTGACAGTTGTATTTCGCATAATTTATGACTTTATTTTTCAGTTTAATTCTTAGCGATTTATGAAGCAGATTCATTGGATATATACATCTGACACTACTAGCGTTGTATATATGATAATAAAATAATAACAGCTTATATTATATAAAAAATTTTCAGCGGAATTTATCTTATGATATTTCTTCTTCCTCCAGGATATTCAAATGAAAAATCAGTTGACAGTAGACCGTGTGGTACAGTTTCATCTGACCTAGAGCGTAAACTTATTCATTATAATATTTCTTCTTTTTCTCCTTCGAAAAATGCATAATATTTTGTTGAATGCTAACTATAAAAAGTATAAGGGTATATGGTGAACCAAAGACACTGTTCAGCAACAGTCATTTCATATACTGGGATAAGCCACCATCGAGGATAATGGCTATTCTTGTGATTGGTATAAACTTGCGAATCAGTGGGTTGGAATTTTTTAAGTACTCTCCAGAGTAAACAGTACTATTAGAGGTCATAAATCACTAGATTTGACCAAACTTAATAAAAGGAATAATATACGATATAGCGACTGAGGGTTTTGGTAGTCCAGGTTTTTAAGCAGACCGCCAATATTTTATGATGTTACATTTCTAGATCGTCTCAAATGAAGCAAGATTCTAATGTTCTTTTTTATCAGAAGTTTTATAAGTGCCATGATATTGTTTGCTTCACAGTGACACCCTATATAAGATACTCTCAAATGTAATTATATATATAATGGTATGCTCGTGGGAATGATCCCATGCACCAAACACAATTCTTTAACATTTGCGAAATCTATTTTAATCTTGTGTTTTCCTAAGTCTTGGTGATGTTAGTGCATCAATAAGTTGAATTCTTTGTTAAATTGACAGTAGAACGTACAAACGTATTTTTTCAATCATCTTTTCAATTAAATGTCTCCAAATTAGTGATGAACTTCAATAAAGACATCAGATACTTCTGGAATTATTCTTTATTTAAGAAAGTTAGTTGTAACAAATTTTGTTCATTGCCAAAAATGCTTTTATTATGTTGTTACAGTCAGGGTTGTTCGCACTACAAAAACGCAATAAAGTTTAGTGTTCACTTCGCAAAATAAGAGTATTCTTTTCACATAAAATCGATACATAATATGAAACTCACAGTGCTGAACACGTTGTTTGGCACTCTTCTAAACTCTTAAAATTGTTCTGATTACCCAAACAACCACCATATTTGAATATTTCACATAGTTTTGTCTCTTTATTATAGAAGTAGCGGCTGAAATATCCTCGGCATGTACCTGGATCCTTTTCTAGAAAGCAGATACCTGAAAATATTTAGAGGTTTTTTCAGCTACTAACAGAGATATAACAAATAACACAATACAGAAACAAATGCTAGAATGTAATCACATAAAAAGACAAATAGTAATGAAACGTAATTCCTTTTACACCGTTACTACTTGTATTCTTTTCTCTCACAACCAATTATCAGTGAATTTGAAACAGAAGTGTCGTTGATACACATTCACTATACTGTCCCTGTAATTTAATCAAATTATCAACTAATCTGAATGAAGATGAAGCGGTGTGCTTTCGTCTGTAAGTATGTGTCATATTTGAAAGTTGTTGAACATTTTTGTTTTACTGAAATGTATTGCCTCAAGCATGAGTACGTTGTTCAAAGAATAGCACGCAAAGCCACATAAAGTGTTGTTCTGAAAACTAAAAAAGTTTTCTTTTCCTCTTTTCTAGAAGGAAAAATCTTCATTTTCCTGCCACATAGCTTGAAATTAAAGTGCACATGTTAATTAGGATGAAATGTATGTAAATTCTCTTAACATTTCTAATCGCAGAGACTTACTGGCATTAGATAAGTCACTGAAATACAAGCATTGATGGAGGGTTAATAAGTAACATGAAATGTTGATTCGTTGAAAAGATTCACAAATAGTACCAGTTTTCCACTGACCGAAATATTACTTAAAGAAATTCAGGAAAATGCTATTCCTAAATTCACTTGTGTTCAAAGTGGTGGTCACAACTAAGTAAATAAGCGTTTCTATTCTGTAAGGCCAATTAAATCTTTCAATTAACATTCCAGATTGTTGTTCTATTTAAACATTGCCGTTTTTATTTGACATCAGGTTAAAAGGATACCTGTTTATTGCTCACTAGAAGCATAACAAAGTGATCACAGTTCTGTGAAATCTGCTTTTCTTCGTGAAACATGAGTGAAAATAAAAGGCTTTCTTGAATAAATTTTCATGCAAGCTCTAAATACCTTTCTCCACAGGCTTTTTGACATTCCTTTTCCGTTGGGAAGTTATTCTGGTTGCCTCCACATCCACCATAGTAGAAATGAACACATGAACGAAGAGTAAAGTTATAGTGATATCGTGAGACTAGAGCCCTACATGGGCCTTCTTCCTTTTGTTGAAAGCAAACACCTGAAATTGTAGAATGAAGAATAAATGTACTCGCAGTCAGTCCGATTAAAGTATACAATCAATGTGTGCAAGTTAGGCAACATAATTAAATTTCTTTCTACTGTTAAAAAAGGCAAATATGACTAAAAAGATAACTTTTTCAACAAATACTTACTATTTTTGGACAATGAACATTTCAGCACAGATGAAATAATTAGGAGTGCGCCTAAGCTTTTAATAAACATTTTGATTGAAATGAGTTGATTTATTTCTGCTTATATATCGTTTTCCTTTGAAAAAAATACAGGTTGTAATTAAGGAGGAACACCAATTGGTTAGGGTTATATTAAACGTCGATTTTCATTGGTTTATCAGCAGTCACCTAAGGTGCAAACAATAACAATTTAAAAACAACTTTCATATGATACCGATTAATCAGTTAACTATGGAACATCGCACGTATATATGATTCTCTACAGAGTACGCTTGCTATCATGATTATCTTAATAAAGAAAAAAATACAATAAAACTTTTGCAATTCAATAATCAAAAATCGAAGTTGATTAAACAAAATTCACAACGCTCACCACTCTGTTGAAGGATTCATCTATATAGCACTTGTGAATTTTGATTACATATCGAGACCCGGTTATGACAGATAAATGGTGATAAAGAATAAATCGGATTTAGTAATATGAGAAATGTCATCCTGGTAATTAAATCCCTGCTGTTTAATAATCAGAAGCAAAGTTCCAAGTTAAACTTTTAATTTCAAGTCATTTATACACTAAAATATATGTATATATACTGAAGTGCTTCGTGTAGATTGTACATTATAATTTCAAAAACTGAATTGTTTGAGTATTACTTGATTCACAGAGGTTCTTCTTAATCTGACATTTCTTGAAATTCCTTTACATTCTCATCGGAACATATGGCTTCAAGATAGAGGCTCGAAGTTAAGGTAGAAGTGGTGTTTATGTTTACGGGATGTGGTCGCTAGCCTCTTGCCCGATCTTCCGTCTTTACCAGTTTTATGACTAGCTTAGCGAGGTTCGGGAGTGCGTCCTCAGGTGATCGAACCCCGGACCACCTGCGTAGTCATCGAGAGTTCTACCACTGTGTCACTGACGCACTTTGATTGACGAGCATATACTCGGTTATATGAGAAGACCAAATAAATGAAAAACCTGAAGAAAAAGTTGTCCGAATAAAACCTGACTTCACTGTTGTATCACCTCATCCGGTCTAATTATGGCATCTCACATCTGGTGGTTTCTTCTTCAACTGGACGTTGTGTTATCACGAAATATACATTCTCATTAAGGAAGACTTTCTCAAATATCTCAGGTGTTGTGTTTCGACTTTCACATCTTACTAAATACTTCTGCGCACATTCATTATTAAATTTTTCATGAAATGTCTGTATTCTTGAACTTAAACCTGACAGTACGTGTATAACGTTTACGTGATCAATGAGTCCAAGTAGTGAGCCATATCAATCTAAAAGATATTTCATACCAACGTTTGTTGTCTACATGCTGCTGGAAGTTAAACCTGTAGGAGTTAAAGTGATTGACGCGTACATACATTTAGATTAATTTCGTTGTTTGTGTTGCAGCTGGAAGCCATTTGCTATGATCCGAAAGCAGGAAACCACTCTGCATTGCACTGTATAGCTAGCAAGAACTTCCTTAAATTACGCACAGTACAAAGATTGGCTTTGCGCAAGTAAAAAGACAGTTGCTGGAAAAATCACCTCAAAAATGCCGTCAAGCAGCTACACAGACTAGATTTTTTATCAGTCACAAAAGAAGTGTTATACAAGAGCATTATTTGATAACAAGCAACCACAAAAAGTAAATGAGAATTATGATAAATATTCCCAAAAAGAAGAGACTAAACTCCCCAAAGGAAAATCAGGCGCCAAACAATTCCCACATGCAATCCAAGGTTCTTGCCTTTGATTAACACAAACATTTATACGGTTATAAAACGACAGTTTATCAATGTCATTACACAACTATAAAGAGAAGCACCGCAGGTAAAGATTAAAAACGAACAAAGGAAAATAACAAGAATATAGTCAACATATAAAAAATACCACCGAAAAAATCCCCTCAAGAAGAAACGCCGTGACAATACGAAGGTGATTTCGGAATAAAATTTGAACAAAATTTGTAGGCAGAAAGCGCTTCAATTTTTGACAGTCATTAGAGAGGAGTGCAGAAAACCTGTTCCGATAAACTCCTTGATATGTCACACAAACTTATGAAATCTTTTATACCGTATGCTACGAATACGCGCAGCAGAAGCTCGATAAACACCGAGAATTCGACTCTTCACACGTGTGAAATACAACATATCATTTGTAATAGCTACATCCTCATTCACTGTCTCCTGTCAATATCTACACCGTTTTCAGATTGTTGTTTATACAATGGTGAGTGGTGTAATCTCTATACGACTGACAGAACTAATGAGTTTCAACTGCATACACCAATTCTGTTCGGTATTTACTTCTCACTAGAAAACACTACACATCATATGCTTGAACAATATTGAAGAGTAGAACTCGCAAATCACACCACCACAAATACTCAAAATTGATGTGAAGTTAAGGAATGTCGTTAGCGTTGCACTTCACTGTCTGGAAATACAATGCATGCCTTTCACATTCATGCACATAACATAGTCTCTCTGATGGTTTAAACAACACCACATTTGTCTGTCAGAATTAGGTATACCAACAGATTCTAATGATTAATCACCACTACTCAGTCTAGAGTCTGATTGATCTTTTCTGTTAGTTAACAGTGAAGCTTTTCAGATTATATAAGACATGTCCTACAATGTCATACACTACAGGATAAAAACGGATATTAATTAGGAAGTCAACGAAGTCATCCAAATAATTATCAATTTTGTTGTTAGATCGTTAGGGATGGATTCTCCAGTTGGTATAAGTAACGCCTGTCGAATTGGATAATGAACATAATGGGTGTTGGAATTTATTATTCATTCAATTACATCAGAATAGATAATGCAGTTTTGTTTGCTAAATATTTTCGAATTTCCAAATTGCATGCAAAGCAGGAAAAAGATTTATTCAAATTAAAATATTCAGCCACATTTTCAAAACATAATTCCGAACTGTATTAGAAATGTTCCAATAAAAATATGAAATACCAAATTAATTTTCCCATGTGTCGTCATCTTCAAGTGAGATTACCAATGAAAGAATTTTGTAATGTCGTTTAATGAACAAATCAATGCCAGCGTCATTTAATCACATCACTAAGAACACTGGGAATGTTTAGTAAATATGATTAGCATTCTAAGTTATATAAAGTGCGAGAATGTGATTAAAGAACCATGGAAATTCAGTCGTATGTTAAAGCAACAATTAGTGTTAGTAGTTAAACTTATATCTCACAAGACAAACCAGTAGAAATAATGTTAAAGAACTGTTCTTCTAAACAGACTAATTATACTCTCCAAGTAATTTATACAAAACACTAATTAAACTGAATAAAAATAATATTCAGAAAGACAGAATAGGTTGTCAGTGTGGAAATTATAAATTTGTGTTAGCTTATTTCCAAATATATGAACATTTAAATAAAAACAGATTATTATTTTGAATAAAAACTGATAATTTTCTAAAATACGGAGATATCACATTCACATATTAACAATAAGAATTTATGTGACATTCGCATATTAATACACACTGTTGATTGCATTGTAACAAATAATTGAGAACATATTTTGATGGGGTAAGGAGTAAGTATAATAGAGGCAATTTATCATTTTATCAATTTATCTGAAAAGCTTCACTGTTAACTAACAGAAAAGATCAATCAGACTCTAGACTGAGTAGTGGTGATTAATCATTAGAATCTGTTGGTATACCTAATTCTGACAGACAAATGTGGTGTTGTTTAAACCATCAGAGAGACTATGTTATGTGCATGAATGTGAAAGGCATGCATTGTATTTCCAGACAGTGAAGTGCAACGCTAACGACATTCCTTAACTTCACATCAATTTTGAGTATTTGTGGTGGTGTGATTTGCGAGTTCTACTCTTCAATATTGTTCAAGCATATGATGTGTAGTGTTTTCTAGTGAGAAGTAAATACCGAACAGAATTGGTGTATGCAGTTGAAACTCATTAATTCTGTCAGTCGTATAGAGATTACACCACTCACCATTGTATAAACAACAATCTGAAAACGGTGTGGATATTGACAGGAGACAGTGAATGAGGATGTAGCTATTACAAATGATATGTTGTATTTCACACGTGTGAAGAGTCGAATTCTCGGTGTTTATCGAGCTTCTGCTGCGCGTATTCGTAGCATACGGTATAAAAGATTTCATTAGTTTATGTAACTTACAGAAGAGCTTATGATGAATTTGAATGTATCATGGCTTACTAGAAATATGTTTTTGCCTATTTCGTTAGGTAAATAAATAGCGGATCGGTGTCAATAAGAAACAAGAATTATTAAGCCCATGTAGAGTAATTTTGACACAGCAATATTTCGTATTGAGAATTAATCACAAATGGTTTCAATATTGATATGAAACATGAAATAAAGATAAAGCTTTTACAAATAATGGCACATTCACACATACAGATGGTTGTATTATAGGTAAATCATCCGTCTCTCATCCTGGTATTAGGAGCACATGATGTAAACAATTCCGCCATTCGATGAGACTTACATAAAAGCTGGTGAGTAAGTTGTGTCTAAAAGTGATTATCAAAAATACGTTCCTGCTCATCCCAACGCTGCTACTTTCAAAAAACTGTTGTCTTACTGAAGAATTAAGTCTGTTATTCTGACACCATTATTTTCGAATATTACGTTTAGGTCTTAAATACAAAATAAGTGGCTTCGATGACGCGAACTTATTTGAACAGGTTCTCCGCATTTCTCTCCAATGATATTATTATTGTCAAGAATTGAAAGACTTTCTGCCTATAAACTGTGTTCACATGTAATTACAAAGTCACATTTATAAAGTCACAGTGTTCTTAAGATAGAGGTTTATTCGGTCGTGTTTTTTTCATTTATCTGAGCTTTCCTTGTCTGTGAAATGCAGACAAGTGGATCCATGTAGCCAGCTCATTTGGCTTATAATATTTGAACCTATATTACATGTGTTGACATCAAAGGGAGAGTGTGGTGAGTTTGCATAGTTCAAACTTGTTAACGAAACATCAACCTCAGACAGTAATCAATCAAGCCTATGAATGAGGTGGTCTACATATCCAGAAGAAATGCAAGGGAAGGATACATATCACATGAATCACGTATTCTGTTATTGACAGGAACAAAATTAATGAGATTACTGCTGTGATACCACTAGACCAGCTGTAAAGTAACATCGAATTCGCACCGTATCAAACATTTCACTCGTTACAGCATCACTACAGACCTCACACAATACAGTCTCTAGTGGAATTTCATGTGTCTCGTTGAAAATGGGTAGTGATTTGGTAGCAATGATATTCCAACAACTCCTCAATGCATCCTTGACTATTGCTAGTTATCCAGAAGACTAGAATTACTCATTTGTAACTCTTGGGCAGGAAACTCGATCGAATCCTTGTATGGGAAATTATCGATCAGTTACTATAACGGCTATAGTTTCCAGATATATGGGAGGTGTTATTAATCGAAAAGTTACTGCACACACACACACAAATTATTACATACTGTTAACTTAACACAAAATGGCAGTTTGGAAACCCAATCACACTCTGGTTGTTTGCTTAACCACATTGGTGGATGCATTGCTCAGTGTGACTGTTGTTCGTTAGTCAATCTCTTCTACGTCAAGCATG